TTCGGGGGTTTTCAAGCAGTGGAACGAGCTGGGATGAAGGGATAATGCCCTAAATCTAAAGCGGCAGCACATTGTCAGACCCCAGTCTCCATAAGAGGCTCCCTCTGAAGATATGCGACACGAAAATTCGCTAGGCCCACATATGCACTCACAGACTATCTAGTTGACGAGAATTATTTAAACCTATTAAGAAGCCCGCATTCCGAAGACAGCATAGGCAGCATCCACGACAAAATCGCATCAGAGCTAAGAACTTAGGAGGAAAAGACTAACCAAAAGCTGATAAAAAGCATTCCGGCAGTTTCATGCATGAGACGGATAGCGGGATTAGGTCATTTAGCCAAATTCGTTACCATTTTTCACCATTAATGTAAATAAATAGAAACTTTTCGTTAAATTTTATTTTAAGTAACATGAATGAGGTAACAGATGTGGAACAAACATATACAAGAGGTGGAGAGAGGGAGGGTTGTGCATGCAGGGAGCAAGGCGAGATGAGTGACAAAATTCATTAGATTTTTCCTAGGAATGCAGACCCCACGCGGCCTTTGGTACAGAGAATTGATCTATAATTCGTCCTTTTTGGTGGATTCACTTTCTCTGATCTAAATGATGAGAAAAATTATATTAAGGCAAGCAAGGGGAGAGAATACCGAGCATTTAAGTAAAAAAAAACTAGACAGAAAGGCAAAATATATCTAAATTAATACATAAAGAATGGCAAGCAGGGAGGTCAAACACAAGCCGTGCAAAGGGGGTACAATAAAAAGAATGTTTAGCTTACATTTTCTTCGACAATCGGACGTTTGGCCTACATGATAAAAAGTGGTTAATTAAGACATCAAGGGGATTATTTGAGTAATATGAAATCACACTACCTCCTCGGATTCCTCGTCAAGATCGGTCTTGAAATCCTCCGCCGCACTACCAGTAGCTCCAACGATGGGCTGATCATCATATTCCTCTTCTGCCTTTTCAAAGAGATCTACATCGAGATTCTTTCGCATTACTTGCTCAATGCGTTCGGCAAAGGCAACCGAATCATTCAGTCCATAACCAGAACGCAGAGCAGCCAGGTCAAAAAGAAGTAAGGCGGTCTCGAAAGCTCGTTCATCTGCATGACCCTCCGAGACACGATTTTTCAAATCTTTGATAAGAGGGTGGCGTGGATTAATGTCAAGTGTTTTTTTCTGGCTGGCATAAAAGTTCGTAGAGGCATCGCTCGACTTTTGAAAAGCTTGAGAGCGCATTATACGTTCCATGTTGCCAGACCAACCATAACTGCTTGCAACCAAAGCACAGGGACTATCAGCTAGAAGATTGGAGAGAGCAGCTTTCTCAATCTTATCCTTTAAGGCTTCCGTTTTTAGCCAAGTCAGCAATACCTCGAACTCCTTAACTTGCGCTTCTTTTTGCTCTTTGTGTTTATCACTTTGATCGATTTCAACACCTTCCTTGGCAATATTTTGTAGTTTCTTACTCTCAAATTCAGTTAAGGATTGGGAAAGATATTCATCGATAGGATCAACCAGGTAAAGAATCTCATACCCCCTTTTCAAAAGTCTTTCTACAAATGGAGAAGTTTTTGCTTCATGAACATCTGAGGCAGTGATATAATAAATCGCCTTTTGAGATACTGGCATTCGAGCGACGTAATCGGCAAGAGAAACAAAACCCGTCTCATTATGAGATGATTTAAACCGGAGTAGTTTAGCCATTCGACCACGATTCGAAGAATCTTCAATCGTTCCCAACTTAATACTAATCCCAAACTCAGTCCAAAATATATCGTAGAGGGATTCAGACAATTTGCTTATCATCTCGATAACTTTACGAATAAGTTTCTTCTTTATTATTTTGAGAAGTTTGCTCTGTTGAAGATTTTCTCGAGAAACATTGAGAGGTAGATCATCACTATCGACAATTCCTTTGATGAAATTGAAATATTTTGGCATAAGATCGTCGAAAGTATCAGTGATAAAGACACGACGGACATAAAGCTGAACAAAGTAGTTAATAAAAACAAAAACAAACCTTTATATTATCTTTTCCAGTGTCTAAATTGCGACTGTACATATCATGCGGTGCCCGAGCGGGGATGTAAAGGATGGACTGGAAACTAACCTCTCCTTCAGCAGAGAAATGAACTTTGCCTAATGGATTTTCCGTCTCCTTAGTAAACGCCTTGAAAAAGTTGTAGTACTCTTCTTCAGTAACATCTTGAATCTTGCGCATCCAGATGGGCTTGTTCTCGTTCATAAGACTCCAGTCCCAAACTGTTTTCTCAATAGTCTTTAACTCTGGTTTTTTCTCCTCTTCAACCTTGGAAAATGTATCATATAAGAGCATACCTTAGCATCATCATCTTTTTGTGAATCGCCAGACTTCTCCTCGGGTGGGGCCGGCTCTTGGACAGTCTTTGTGGAACTAGACCACACATATATAGGAAAGTTGATGAATTGACTGTATTTTCTGACAAGTCTTATCAATGAATCATGATCTAAATAATCCTCAGCTTCCTCTTTTAAATGCAAAATCAATTCTGTGCCTCGTTTTAGGCTATCACTCCTAGGGTCTTTGTTAATAGAATAAGAGCTGGCATCGGATTCCCAAACATATTGATCATCATTGTTGCTCTTTGAAATAACAGTGACCTTGTCAGCCACTAATACAAACGAACATCACGAAAAAACAAATTACCTAGGAACGATGAATAGAATCCAACTCCGAACTGGCCAATCAGATCTCCAGTATCAGTTGAGCCGCTAGAAGATATCTTAGAAAGAAACTCAGAAGTTCCAGATTTTGCAATAGTCCCCAAATTTTTTATCAACTCGTCTTTTGTCATACCGATTCCTGTATCCAAAATATGTAATGTTCGGTCAGCTTTATTTGCTTTAATCCTAATAGACAAATCAGGAGTAGTCGATAATACAGAACTATTGGTCAGAGACAAAAATCTGATTTTGTCTAAAGCATCAGAAGCATTGGAGATAAGTTCACGCAAGAATATCTGGAGAATAT